CTAGGAGCAAAAAGTGTCCTTTATGTCCCTCTGACCAAATTATTATAGGTCTCAAAGTATGTCTGTTAAATACCCAAGAAGGTTAATTCCACCAGTCTGGTATTTTTAATTACTGTGTGTCATATAGATAAATCTTGGGCAAAGACCAATTTTTTTTGGATAAACCTTACCTAGACATATATTTCTTGATCTGCTATGTATGATTTGTCAGTAGGTTGTTGGAGTAATATGGTTCCCTCTGGTTTTTAAAACTAGCTAGGCATTATTTATCGCTTGCATTGTCTCACCCCCCATCATGGTTTTCCCACTTAAGATGCCCCCATTTCCTCCCTTTCTCCCTTAATAATACCCTTCTCCTATGGTCCTACCTCTCTGGAGCTCCTTCTTTCCTTTTATCCCCTAGGTTACTTGTATACCTTCCCTCCCCCCTCCCTTAAACTAACCCAATTTTTATCCATATCTCCCTCATTAAGGCCTGTTTCCTACTGTTCTTCTCTTCCAGGTTTTTTCCTTTCCTTTACCTCCCTGTTTCCTTTCCATTATCCTGGTTCCTGTAGTTATGTCTGGATCCATACTCACTTATCATGGTTTGGTTCTAGGATCCACATATGAGGGAAAACATATGTCACTTTTGTTTTTCCGAGTCTGTGTTACTTCACTTAGTTGAGGGGCACTTAGGTCACCTCCATTTCTTAACTATTGTGAAAAGAACAGCAACAAACGTGGATGTGCAAGTATCCCTGCAGTAGGTTGACTCCTTTGGGTATATGCCAAGGAGTGGTATGACCTGATCATATGGCAGATTTATTTTTAGTTCTTCACACTGCTTTCCATAGTAGTTGCATGAGCTTGCAATCTCACCAGCAGTGGATGAGTGTTCCCCTTTCCCCACATCCTCTGCAACATTTGGTATCATTTGTTCTCTTAACCTTAGCCAGTCTAACTGGGGTAAGATGAAATCTTAAAGTGGTTTTAATTTGCATTACCCTAATTACTAGTGATGTTGAACCTCTTTTAAGATGCTTCTTAGCCACCTTTACTTCTTCCTTTGAAACTTCTCTTCAGCTCTTTAGCCCGACTTTTAATTGGGTTACTTCCTGTCTTGATTCTGTTTTTTGAGTTTGTTATATATTTGGATGTTAAACCTCTGTCATATGTGTCACTGGTGCAGATTAAGAGCTTAAACAGACCCATAACACATAAGGAAATTGAAACAGTAATACACCAAACAGACAGGACCAGAAAAAAAACTCTCCATGGCACATCATAGTAAAAACACTAAATGTACAAAACAAAGAGATAATACTGAAAGCTGCAAAAGAGAAACAGCAGTCACATATAAAGGAAAACACATGAGGATTACTGTGGGGACCTAAAGGCCCCACCTTGCAGAGGTCC